TGGCTAGCCCTCGTACTGTCAGTAGGCCTTGTTCTGTCACTGACTAGTGGCTACCTGGAAAAGAGTAAACTCAGCTTGACCCTGATGGAGCTAACAGAGATTGTCACCCAACCCTATTCCTCTCAGCTGCGCAGCAAGTGCCTTCTAGAAGAGGGGTCTGAATAGCAATCTTCATGCCTGCCACGCTCAATCATAGGATTATGGTAATTATGTGTATTGTTGCATATGATATATACAACATAATTGGCACTCAGTGATGTAATTCATCATTCTCTCCTTTTCAAAATGTGTAATTTCTTTTTTTTTTTTTTGAGATGGAGTCTCTGTTGCACAGGCTGGAGGACAGTGGCGTGATCTTGGCTCTCTGCAAATGCTGCCTCTCAGTTTCAGGCGATTCTCCTGCATCAGCCTCCCAGGTAGCTGGGACTATCGGTGTGCACCACCATGCCCGGCTAATTTTTGTATTTTTAGTAGAGACAGGGTTTTGCCATGTTGGTTAGGCTGGCCGCAAACTCTGACCTCAAGTGATCTGCCTGCCTCAGCCTCCCAAAGTGTTGGGATTACAGGTGTGAGCCACTGCACCAGCCCCAAAATGTGCAATTTCTAAGGATGCAACATTTATCTATGTAAGAGTCCTGTCAAAAATATTTAATATGAATCTATGAAGAGAAGAGAAGCAAGATAATTTTTTGTATTTAAATTTCAGTAGTTTTGGGAGTACAGGTGGTTTGTGGTTTTTTTTCTGAGATTTTTGTGTTCTTTTAACCCGAGCAGTGTACATTTTACCTGATATTTAGTCTTTTATCCCTCAGCCCCTCCCAAACTTACAGCCCAGCCCCCAAAGCCCATTATATCATTCTTATGCTATTGCATCCTCATAGCTTAGCTTCTACCTATAAGTGAGAATATATGACATTTGGTTTTCCATTCCTGTGTTACTTCACATAGAATACCAGCTCCATCCAAGTTTCTACAAAAGACATTTTTTCATTCCTTTTTATGGCTGAGTAGTATTCCATGGTGTATATATACCACATTTTTTCTTTTTTTTTTTTGAGACAGAGTTTCACTCTTGTTGCCCAGGCTGGAGTGCAATGGCGCAATTTTGGCTCACTGCAATCTCTACCTCCTGGGTTCAAGTGATTCTCCGCCTTAGCTGCTGAGTAGCTGGGATTACAGTTGCCCACCACCATGCCCAGCTAATTTCTGTATTTTTAGTAGAGATGGGGTTTCTCCATGTTGGCCAGGCTGGTCTCAAACTCCTGACCTCAGGTGATCTGCGCACCTCAGCCTCCCAAAGTGCTGGGATTACTGGTGTGAGCCACTGAGGCCGTATACTTTTCTTTATCTGTTTGTTGGTCGATAGGCACTTAGTTTGGTTCCATATCTTTGCAATTGCGAATTGTGCTGCTATAAACATGCATGTGCATGTGTCTTTTTCATATAATGATTTCTTTTCCTTTGGGTAGGTACTCAGTAGTGGGATTGCTGGCTCGAATTGTAGTTCTTTTAGTTCCTTAAGAAACTAAAAGTATCTCCATACTCTTTTCCATAGTGGTTGTACTACTTTACATTTCCACCAGCAGTGTAAAAGTGTTCCCTTTTCACCACATCCATGCCAACATCTAGATTGTTGGGTGGGGAGGAGTGGCTCATGCCTGTAATCCCAGCACTCTGGGAGGCTGAGGTGGGTGGACAATTTGAGGACAAGAGTTTTGGGACCAGCCTGGGCAACACGGCAAAATCCCATCTCTATAAAAAAAATACAAAAATTAACTGGGCATGGTGGTGTGTATCTCAGCTACACAGGACATGGGACATGGGAGGCTGCAGTGAGCCTAGACTGTGCCAATGCACACCAGCTTGGGTGACAGAGCAAGATCCTGTCTCAAAAAAACAAACAAAAATAACAAAGGCCACGTAAGAATATATATATATCATGATTAGGGAGTGGTATTTGCCAGTAAGTTTGGCAGTGGTTCCCTTTTCCTGGAGCAATGAAGCTCCTCTTTCCCACTCTTAATTGAGGATCTCAGGCTCCTATCCCGTTCCACTTGGCTAAGAGCTATTCTTAGGCCTAGAGTTTTTTCTTGACTACCCTCTTTACCATCCATGAATTGCTTTCTCATCTTGTAGTGATTACCCCAAAGACCTACAGTCCAGCCATTTGGGGTTACTTGTAGTTCTCTCCCATTCACATACTCATTCGTGCAGTTCCAGCTGAGAATTATCTTTTTTTCTCCACTTAGAAAAGTCATCCTGTAACTTAAATGCCAATTCTTGTAAAAAGCCTGTCCCAGAAGCCCTCCTCCTCTCGCAATACTTTATTTTTGTATCTGCAGCTCAAATGGGCAAGTTACTTGTTTTATTGTATCTGTATAGAACCTTCTGCAGTTCAAATGGGCAAGTTACTTGTTTTACCAATAAAAAAATACAAATAGTGTCACAGGTTGGGTTCCCAGGAAGCACTCTTACATGATTAGTAAGAGAGATTTATTAGGGAATGCTCTTGGGATCATCACTTGCACAGGAAAGAAAAACTGAAATGGGCAGAAGAAGTTGAGCTTCAATGAAGTCTCAATGTAATGCCTCAGCTGATCCTACCAGTTGTTCTGCAGGACATGAGAAAACCCATCAGAATTGTACCAAAGGGAGGTGAGAGGGCTGGGCCTTTTATCCCTGCACTGATCAGTCACTGGATGTGGCCTTCCTGGGAACATTATGACAATGTAATAACACTGGCATTAAAGAGGCTGACAACCGATGGCTGGCTGTGGGTATGACTCTTAGACTCTTGGCAGCAGCAGCTCAGTTCTTTATTCCTGAAGTCAGGTCTGAAAAGTGCATTGCAAGGCCTACCACAAATAGTATATATCTCATAGGACTGTCAGAAGCCTAAAATAGGGTAACATAGAAAAGTACACACCATTTGGCCTGGCACACAGGAACCAAAAACATGGCAAGTATGGTTATTATAATAGAATTGGGCTCTGTAAGTACAAAGAGCAAGGTAGAGAAACGTGTTTATTTTTGTATCTCTAGTCTTAGTATAGGTCACTAGTGTATTTTATCTTTCCTTTTTTATTTTTGGGACAGAGTCTTGCTCTGTCACCCAGGCTGGAGTGCAGTGGCGTGATCTCAGCTCACTGCAACCTCTACCTCGTGGGTTCAAGCAATTCTCCTGCCTCAGCCTCCCAAGTAGCTGGGATTACAGGCATGTGCCACCACACCTGGGTAATTTTTGTATTTTTAGTAGAGACGAGGTTTTGCCATGTTGGCCAGGCTGGTCTTGAACTTTTGACCCCAGGTGATCCGCTCACCTCAGCCTCCCAAAGTGGCGGGATTACAGGTGTGAGCCACTGTGCCCGGCCCTTCTTTTTATTTTTGACATACTGCCACCCAGAAACACCAGTATGTTCGACAAATAATTGATTAATATAAAAACACGTAACCCTTTTGAAGTGGATGTTACTTTGACTTGAACTCAAAGCTAAAATACAGAACACCATTTAAAAACTTTTATTACCAACATAAAAGAAGGCACAACATGTATCCACTTGCTTGAAAAAAACATGTTCCAAAGGAAAACAAAAGTAATGAAGCAGTACTTAACAACGTCAAAGAAGAGCCCCAGTTAACGGCTTCTACCACTGGATTTTATATTTTTCGAAGATAATCTTTATAGCCAGGGAAGGAGGTTTAGCTCAGTTTTTCCAAAGCTCATAAATGATGACATTGTTTATCTTCATTAATGTGTTGGACTTTATTTTCCTACATGCTCAATATAGTTGGTAGATCTGTTTTGATACTTACTGAGCACTGCTGTGCCAGACACAATTCTGGGGATACAGCAATGAGCAAAATAGTTTACTAAGTCCCTGTCTTTAAAAATCTTACCTTCTTGGTGGCGAGGACACTGACGAATAAGGTCTGGAAGGTAAAGAGTTAAAGCAGTGGTGCAGCTGTACTTTTTTGGATACAGTGGTCTGGGCAGCCCTGTGAAAAGGGACCTGAAATACGCATCGAACATCGACGAGTTAAAAAAAATCTGAAGGAAGTGTTCTGCCAGAGAGATCAGCAAGCGCAAATGCCTGAAGTGGTTCGAGCCTGCGTGCTGTGGTACCAGCCAGAAAGCCAGAGGTGAGCGAGAGGAGGCAGAAGCACCATCATAAATACACATACATGGATGTTCTCCTGGTTTGAGACCACAGTGCTATGGGAGGTGGGGTTTACAAATCTCTCAGGAGGCCACAAAGGGCAGGATGAAGCCGATTTCCAACGGCGGAGGTACGGGGACGAGTTTCCTCTGCTAGAGCAGGTTGGACGGTTGCAAGGGATGGACTGCAACCCGTCCTCGGATGATCAACCTTCGCTCAGAGGCAGGGGCGGTCCGGGGAGGGCCCCGGCGGCCCCCGACCCGCGGGCGCTGCACGGGCCGCGGTTACCAGCAGGCGGTGTAGTGAGCGCGCCTGGAGCAGCAACAACAGCAACAGCCGCCGCCGCCGCCCGCCCGTCCCAACGAGGAGGAGAAAGGAGGGGACCGGAAGGAGCCGCTGGTGCTGCGGGAAGTGGCAGGAGCGGGAGGCGGGGACCCACCTGGAAGCGCCGCGGCGCCGCTGTCGAGCTTCCTGCAGCGGCGGCCACCGGAGCAAGTGCCGTGGCGGGGGCGGAGAGCGGCCACGGCGGTGGCGCCTCCCCAAGTGGCCCGTGGCGTTCGACCCCGCGCGAAAGGTGAGCAGGAGCTCAGGGCACGTGGTGAGGGCCAGACATGGGGGAGGGAGAATGAAGGGGGAGGTAATGCGGGTGGCAAACGATCGGCTTGGGACCTGGATTTGGAGTCAAGTACCGGGAGGGGGTGGGCTGGAGGCGACGGCGGCGTCGGCTGCTACGGCGAAGCCCCCACGTGGGGCGGGGGTGCGCGCGCACGTGTACGCGGGAGAAAGGGGGGCGGGGAGGGCTCTAGGGAGGGCGTCGGGCGCGCGCTCGCTCAGTAGCGGCCCACGTGACTGGCACGCCGAAAATCTGTTTCCACGTGACAGGGAGACTGGCTGAGGTAGCGTGATGCGCTGTTTGTGTAGTATAACCGTGGTAATCGGAGGTTTTTAAGATTGCCGCTTTTCTCCTGTGCTAGGGGAAAGGAGGAGACATAAAGCGGAAAAGACTTCCTACTTTCTCTGTGTTTTAAATGTTCTCTACTCCGTCAGTGAAGCGCTTTTTAAGTTCCGAAATACTGATTTTTTTGTACCGCCATGTTGGTATTAGAGGAAGCTCGCGAGATGCGAGTGGGTTTGTATCGCGAGATCTCTCGATTCTCGCGGGACCTCGTTGGCAGAGCAGTTGTCCTGGATGGCGGAGCCTTGGGTTCCGGGGGCCTGGGACCCGCAACTCTTTCTACAAGGCAAGTCGTTAGGGAGGGGCCCGGGGCGAGTGCCTCTTGGTGCCGGGATACGTGCTGCATCAGCTTCCCATAGTCTTGAAGGGACTACAGTAACCCCGTTGAGGCAACACTGCCTTCCCCATCCCCCTGCGGGCGCTCAGCCACCTGCAGAAGCGTATGCACCCCTCAGCCGGTTCCTCCCCACGCAGTGGTAGTTCCACCCTGTCCCACTCACTGGAAGTCCGGAGCCGTGCTCGCGCAGACCTGATGATTCCATTGGATGCCGTTCCTCTTACTTTGAAACGTTCTTGCTAGTTTTTCCCCTCGTTGCCATTTTCTAAAGTATTCCAGACCTGTTAACTATTCTGTCACGTTTTCTGCTGCAGTACCTGTCTCCCATCTCCTGAAACAGAATACCTCCCATCTGTTTTCTCTAGGTGTCATTTACTCCTCACCCTGACTTTGTATTTTCAGTAACTTTTTGGCAGTATTTTGGAGGACTCGTTATGTCTCTGACAGCACGTGAGGTCAGAACAAAATCTCGCTTTTAATCATTTTGTGCGTGCCTGTTAACTCAGTTATCGGTAGGGTTTTAATTACTACTGTGTTATTGAGGTTGCCATCTTTGAGGTTTAGGGATGGTTGTTTTAGGTTATATATTTAAGGTAAGAGACTATTTCATGTGAATTTTTTTTTTTTTTTGGAGACAAAGTCTTGCCCTTGTCGCCTAGGCTGGAGTGCAGTGGCATGAACTCGGCTCACTGCAGCCTCTGCCTCCCGGGTTCAAGCGATTCTTCTGCCTCAGCATCCCAGTACCTGGGATTACAGGCGCGCTTCACCATGCCTGGCTAATTTTTGTATTTTTAGTAGAGACGGGGTTTTATCATGTTGGCCAGGCTGGTGTCAAGCTTCTGACCTCAAGTGATCCACCTTCGTCGGTCTCCCAAAGTGCTGGGATTACTGGCGTGAGCCACCGCGCCTGGCCTCAGGTCACCTTTTTAATAAAGAGCAAACTCATAAACTTTGGTATCAGAGTTTGAGCTTTGTTTTTCTTAAGTGAGTTTGAAATCAGTTTTTCTCTCCACTTCCCTAATGTCTCAGAAATGAATTTGCAATATAACTTTGATTTTTCGTATTCTTAAGTAGTGTTTGGATTTTGTTTAGTAGTTGCAGTACTAAATGGGGAGTGGGGAGTTAATTACAAAACGAATCGGGTAACTAGTTGATTCATTTATAGTTTTTTTTTAAAAACTACAAAAGTTTTCTTTTTTTTAATACATAATACAGAGAGGTATATAGTGTAGAGTAACACAATGCTTGTTTCACGGTACCACAAAGTTCCATTCCTCATTCTTAAATCTGCCTGTAACCACTCTTTGTGGTTGCTGTGTATCATTCCAGATATTTCCATATTTTAGTTTAGTTATTATTTCTTAAATGAATGGGAGAAAGTGTTGTTTTATGGGGTACCACCACAATATTGGCGATTAGTAAAGATTTTTTAACTACATGTTTATTTAGTGTTACATGCCTGTTTGTCAAGACTCATGTATGCATACTGAGATAAAAAGCAGATTTTTTTTGTTTGTACTGATTTTTTGGGTCGTATAATCTTGTGAAAATATCACAAGTAACAGTGTTATTTTTGCAGTAAAGTTTATTGTGCTGGGTAAGCTTTGCACAGAAAGTACATGTAAAACAAGATTTAAATAATGTTTCATCACTTGAGTTTTATATTTTTATGTTTAATGTTTGTTATATGTTTACCTTTATATATTATATATCCTTTTTTTTTTTCTTTTTTAGTATCCTGGAATTCAATATGTATTACACATTCTAAGCTGTAACCTAAGTATACCTATAGGAGTTTTTCAGATGTTTTAAAAGTGTGTCAGCGTGATTAAAATGACAGTTCTGACCATGCAATTTGGTGATCTCAGCTGGAAGGTGGTAGATGTATCACTAGTTAGTTCAAATATGTGTATACTTAAAGTTGCTAGGCGGCTATCATTTTCTAAGTGTTGTTTTTGTAATTTTCCCTCAAGCCTACCAGTAATAATATTTATCAGACCAGTCACATTAAAAAAAATGTCCATTCTTTGGGCAGTGTGTGTTTTTTTTTTGTTCTAACAATGCAAGTAGAAATGTTGAGGAATAGAAGTGAGTGTTGAGAGGTATGATGGAAGGAGGAAAAGGGGACATTGGGAGTGTAGAGGTCGTTATTGCAATGGAATTGGACAAACTGGGTAGAAAAGAGGAATGTAGAAGGTTGACGGTGAGGCAAGAGCCATGGTCCAAGAATAGGCAGGCTTATAAGAGTTGGAGGAAAACCCGAGTTGACCAGCATTTGGAATCGGTATTTGAGGCAATTTTCTCCTCTTAACTAATTTTTTGGACAGTTCTGGGTCCATTCACAGAATTGCCAGATATCTCCTGTCATAAAAGTCAGCAACTTAAGGTGGTATTTAATTGAAACTTTGTAAATTCTTTACTTTAAAGCCATTCTGTTAAATATTTGTTAAGTACATTTTATTATTATTTTTAGAAGTAGGAAATTGTGAAAATGACAGTGAGTTTGAAGGTCACAGTTCTACAATGGCCTTTGCAAAGATATCTACATAAGTTTAGCTTGGTAACTGGACCTTTAATAGTGCACGTGTGCATCTGATCTATGAAATAACCTATGTTCCTTGCACTTACAAGTTTTGTTTTATAAACTTTTCAGTAGTGGCTCTTGGGACTTATCAATCTTTTACAGACACGAAATTATTTGAGGTACTTGGTAGAAACATACTGAGAAAAATCCAAGGGAGAGGAAAAATATATTGTTACATGTTTTGAGTTTGCTTGAGTAAAATTTAAATAACCAATGGATTTTATTTTTGTTTTTCTCAATTATCATGGTCATAGAAGTGATGAAAGCTAATGAACTTCAGTGATTAGAGGAAATTAGTAACAGTGCTAATGCTGATTTGTTCTCACTTGGATTTTTTTCCTTAAGGTCTGATACCATGTCAATTTCCACAGAGCTGTAACTTTATAAGTTACCTTAAGTTGGGCCTGTTGGCTCATGCCTGTAATAGCAGCACTTCGGGAAGCTGAGGTGGGAGGATTGCTTGAGACCAGCCTGAACAACATAGCCAGACCCTGTCTACCAAAAAAAAAAAAAAAGAAAAAAATTACCTGGGTATGGTAGTGCACACCTATAGTACCAGCTACTTGGGAGACTGAGGTAGGAGGATCGCTTAAGCCTGGGAGTTCAAGAGTGCAGTGAGCTGTGATTGTACCACTGCACTCCAGGGTGGGCAACAGAGTGAGACCTTGTGTTAAAAATAAAATAAAAACACTTAAATTTCATAGGAAAATTCAGTTTGGAGTTACCTACAAGGAATAGTTGCTGGAAGAGTTTCATTTTTAGAGTAGTATTTACTAGAGATTTGGTATAAACTCTGGTGCAAATTTCTGTAATTAATGCTCTGAAAACCACTATAATTGTACTCTGAAAACCACTCTCAGTAAATATTTCCCAAAGTCCAAAGCCTGACCTGGTTATTTTGTTTGACCCTTTCCTTCTCACCTGTTTTTCTTTTCAGCTGATCTTTTTCACTTATGTAGGTAATTTTTGTCTTATTAGAGAGGAGGAGTAGGGTAACTTTCCTTGAGGAGAATATCACGTTGTGATTGATCAGACTATTCAGGTATTATTATTACTTTTTTTTTTTTTTTGGAACTCCAGCATATTTATAAGTTAGAATCAGTAATTCAACTGACATTTATTGCTAATGATCTCAGCCATTTGAAACATAGCAGAAAACCTGAACATAATCTCTGAGCCTTCAAAATGACTGCAACCAAGTATAGTAAGCCATTAGCCTTTATTAGGCAACTACTAATTGGAATTAGTCCACAGATAAGAATCTACAGTGTTGGCCATTGGAGTTAGGGACATGGGCAGCTGAAATGTCATCTTCAAGAGAAAGAACTATTAAAAAAGTAGGTGGGACTTTAGTAGAATAGTGTTTTAAGGCCATTACATAAAGACCTTCACTTGTATTATCATTAACTTCTGAAAGAATGACAGTATCTTAGAGCAGCCTAGTAAGTTGATGCTTCACAATGATGACTTTAATCATAAACTCGTATTCTGTGTACTGTGTTTAAGGAAGTAAGAAATTGGTGTCTTTTGAGATTGCTATAAAAGTAAACATTTTCAAAACTTTGTTAAATGTTAAGTTTCAGTTTTCTGGAAAATTTACTTGTAGATCTCTCCTTATCTGATGATACCAAATAAAAATGGTACTATTGTGTATGGAACTTCCTTTTTTCTATGATTTTAACCTATTTGTCTTTCTACTTATTTAATATTTTAAGGAATTACTCCCAAACAAGGCTCTATTACATTTAATAGTTGATATCAGTAATGAACAACCAATCACCTAAAGATTAGCACATCTGCTCATGAAGAAAATAGTAAAGCAGTTAATTAGAATTAGTAAATGACCTATGCATACGATTGAGTTGTATAATTTTGAATCCTGGTATTGAGTTTCTATTCTTAGCCCAAGTGTCCTAAGGTGCCAGGTGTTTCATTTTGTAGTGAGTCTTCTTCATTGCATTGCTGGCCTTCTCTGTCTCATTTAGTATAAACTGATGCTTCCATTAGTGCTAGAGTTAAAGTAGATAGTCTTTGACTTGTGTATAAGGTGTGTGTATGTATTTTAATGATTTTGAAAGCTGGCTTGAGGAATTATATCTTGGGAATTAATATAACTATTATTAGCATTTTGATACATTTCTTCCATTATTTTAATGTATTTTTTTTACATACTTGTGGATAAAAAACATTTAATTCCATGTCTTGCTTTTTAATCTACTGTTAGATAACACTTTTTCATTCTCACAATGCGGCTTAATAACTACCATTGTAAATGATTGTAAAATGTTCTGTACAGTGAACATACCATGTTATTCCCCTATGTGAAAAACATATTTATACATGTTTCATGTATATAGTATCATCT